GCATGCAGTACAGAACATAGAGCATGCAGTACAGAACATAGAGCATGCAGTACCGAACATAGAGCATGCAGTACAGAACATAGAGCATGCAGTACAGAACATAGAGCAATCAGTACAGAACATAGAGCATGCAGTACAGAACATAGAGCAATCAGTACAGAACATAGAGCATGCAGTACAGAACATAGAGCATGCAGTACAGAAGACACGACTTCAAAATGGCCATGTTACCAGTAGGTATCGGAATATCTTCACAAGACAAAACAAGAAGACTAGTCTGAAGTATTGATTTTATTATCAGGTACGTTTAGCAACGCGAAACTTCAAACGAAAATTTGTGAGTCCGGGAACGAGTGCATAAACAAAGTTTGAAACCTCGCAAACTTGGACGCAAAGTTGCAGTGAGTTGCGGAAGTAACTTTCTTTTTCCTCAGTACGCACTTGAGACTGGGGATTAGTAAAATAGGGAGATTTAGTCCCACGTAACGGATACGGGAACGTGGGTGACACACGTAAAGTTCCTGCAATGGACCCACGTTCGCAATGTTGTTTTTAGTCACACGGAACAAACAAAAGCATGAAGCAAAAGGCCGAAACTTGGTCAAAGACGAAGCTTAGAAGCTCATCAGATATTTTGATTTCGTGCTTCGGAAACTTCTTCAGCTGAGCACCCTCACAGCTTGCACAATGTGCTCCATTCTGATTTCACCCACGTTTTAGCAGAACGTGGGTGAGCCTCCATACACGGTATGCCGTGAATCAGAAAACGTCTGTACATGTGGGTCACTGAGTTTCACGTGGTACACACACGTAAAGCACACATGGATTACGTGGGACTGAACCTCCCTAACTCCCTGCTTGAGACGGAGTGTTTGAGTATGGTACATGTACTACAAAAATTCAAAGGAGTAGAGTTGCTCCTAAAGCGTCTTCACAAAAAGGTTTTTGACGTCCCTGAAACGGGAGAGGGGTTCGAGCACAAAAAAGTATGGTACGACAAACTTTTTTTTGCGACGACACCTAAGGATACGGGGACAGCTTGCGAAAATAACTCATTATTGCAAAGACAGTCAGGGCGACAAGGAGAGCATGGGAGAGAGCATGGGAGAGAGAGAGAGAGAGAGAGAGAGAGAGAGAGAGAGAGAGAGAGAGAGAGAGAGAGAGAGAGAGAGAGAGAGAGAGAGAGAGAGAGAGAGAGAGCAACAGGACGTGTTCTAACCTTAACTCGATCTAGTCCGATGATGTCCAAGATAACGGCCCTATACCAGGTCTGATCAAACATGGCACAACAGGTCATGCCGACACTGACACGTTCCGCAGTCACAGACAAAGCCCGGCGAGCTGGAGTATTGTATAGTTCGCTGCAGAAACGGCAAACAGCAGCAGTGACATCAGCAGCAGCAGTAGCAATAGTAACAAACAAACATAAATGCACATACAAGAAAAATCAAATACACAACAACACGTGGACCATGTGTACCAACGCGGACAGATACTACTGTAGAGCAAAGAGAATGGGACACTCTACTGCAGCTTGCCCAGCAGCATGGGATGCTGACTGAGAATGGGACACTCTACTGCAGCTTGCCCAGCAGCATGGGATGCTGACTGAGAATGGGACACTCTACTGCAGCTTGCCCAGCAGCATGGGATGCTGACTGAGAATGGGACACTCTACTGCAGCTTGCCCAGCAGCATGGGATGCTGACTGAGAATGGGACACTCTACTGCAGCTTGCCCAGCAGCATGGGATGCTGACTGAGAATGGGACACTCTACTGCAGCTTGCCCAGCAGCATGGGATGCTGACTAAGAATGGGACACTCTACTGCAGCTTGCCCAGCAGCATGGGATGCTGACTGAGAATGAGACACTCTACTGCAGCTTGCCCAGCAGCATGGGATGCTGGCTGAGAATGGGACACTCTACTGCAGCTTGCCCAGCAGCATGGGATGCTGACTGTTCATTAAAAACTAGCTAACAGAACGACTGACTTTCAGCGATGTGTCGTAAACCCCATTGGACCCTTGCATAATTGTAAAGATCAGCAAGCAAAGTGTGCATATAAATACAGGGGGAGGGTTCATTCACATCTCCTTACTTCATTTTATGATTAATCTCCTCAAGTTCGTCTACAGAAGTGTTCTGCACGTAGAAAAGCGATGGAGAGACAATATGTGACACGTACACATCGACACATTCCTCCACTGCTGGCAGGGTGGCACAAGGTATGTTACGAACACCTGTACTAGGGCCCGACTGGCTATGTGACATTGGCAGTGCTGCTGCTGCCACCGAGTGACTTGAGTTGGGTAATACTGGTGATGCCAGCCGGTTCCCAGTACTCCTACTAATACTACTACCGGCTACCGAAAAGAGCGGTTTGCCGCCAGATGAGGTGCCAGCATTGTTTCTCGGCATAGCAGTTGCTGTGGAATGAGCTGATGACTTTGTTGCAGTTGAGCTCTGTTGCCAGGAAGCAGGTGTTGACTGCCGTAGGCATGCAAACTGGCGTCGACCAGATGGAGACAACTCTATTCCAACCGTTGACGATAGCTTGTCTAGCAGAGCTTTCATGTCCAGCCCAAGAGCATTGGGTATAAGATCTTGTCGATACGTCATCTGAACATCACAACACACATGCCCATGCGCAAACACGTAAGAACACGAGGAAATGTTACTACTCAACACTGTAAACACCACAGTATATCTAGTATTCTTCAAAATCGGTCAAATTCAAATAGAAATAGATGCGAGAATAAGTACTACCTTTGGAACTTCCAACCATCCACAGGTATCACCTAATCAAGTGGCAGACAACCAACTCCAAGGCTTGTCACATGAAATATTATTCACGCAATGGTGCAATCTTCCACCACCGCTGAGGGGAGAGAAAAGCTAACGAGACTGCGAATATGAATCTTTACCTTGTACTTAGCGGGCAGTTCATCCACTGGAATACCCTGTCTTACTGTGGAGAGGATCTCTTCTACATTGTGCTTCATCGTCTTCAACGTGGCGTCATAGTCTACTATGACATCTAGAAACAACAAGTCCAAGAAAAAAGAAAAAAGAAGAAAAAATCAAGTAATAAAACATAGGATTCTCATCAAGCTGACTGGAAACCGACCAAACCACTCTTCTAAACTCTCACAAAATCTCTCTCAATACCAGCAAGGTAATCAATACTGGTAATTCCTCGGACAGTTGTTCCACAATCATAGGGCTTGCTAGGGAAGTAGACATTGAAAAGGATTTTCCAAGTGCAAGTCCAACTGTAGTGTGTGCATGTATGTGTACTACACCTTGAAACACTCCTTTTAAAAGGAGTTTCCTAATGCAAGCTGCAGTGTATGTTAACATACACTGCAGCTTGCATTAGGAAACTCCTTAACATACACTGCAGCTTGCATTAGGAAACTCCTTAACATACGCTGCAGCTGGCATTAGGAAACTCCTTAACATACACTGCAGCTTGCATTAGGAAACTCCTTAACATACACTGCAGCTTGCATTAGGAAACTCCTTAACATACACTGCAGCTTGCATTAGGAAAGTCCTTTCCGACACCAACATTTCCGTACGAGACCTACAATGGTGGAAACAGCTGTCAGGAGGAACTACTAATATTGAATTCCTCGCTGGTCCTACGTTGCAAGAATTTGTGGCAGTTAGAAGAAGAGTGTGTTGATTGGCTTAGAGCATATTGTGGGTGAAGAAGAAGAAGAACATGAAGTTGAAAAATAAACCCTTTTACTGTCCGACCATACATCTATCAAACACCGGTGTTCAGCTGATTCAACATTTTTGTTATTTGGTCAGTTCTTGGTTTGGTGGAGAAAACGAAAATTATTTAGGTCGAAGAGAAAACTGTCAGTTGTCGTCTCAAACAGTTGCCGAAGCGATAGGATAAACGGTTCGTGAGTTACGACACTCATAACTTTTGTCAATTGGCGCTCAGGGCATGTTGCGGGACCCAACGGCCGGGATTTCCTTGATCACGTCAGCTGTTGGCAAGGATGCACTCTTTAAAATTCAAACTACGACTCCTGAGTGACTACAAACATTGAGCTTCATACGAGCAAGGAGAGTGAAATGGCGGAGGAGATCGATCGAGAGCGCAAGGCCCACCCTGAAACGCCTTCGCTGGCTTGCAGCGCTGGGCGAGCGCATCCTATGGGATTGAGTTTGGATTTATAGTGTTACGCTCGTCAATAACTTTCCAGGATGCCCAAGATGATGGCAATTGTCCACGGAAGCCAAGGTTACGTCCAATTCAAGGTAAAAATGTAGACGGTGCAGTTCTCTGAATACATTGAGTGCGGACGGTAGAGGGTTAAAGAGTATATGATAACCATTCTACAATATATTCATTTGTTTGAGGGAAAGACACAAACGGGAAAAGTCTGAAGAAAAATTGACTGTCACCACCAGGACTGGAAACACTAATTCTGATATTGCGGGCAGCAAGGGAAACATCATCATCATTGTGCTGAGAATACCAACCTTGAGGAGGGTTAGCAGTGGGCAGCAGAATCCAGTCACCAGTCACATTAGGCCGGGTTATCTGGCAGACATCGTTCATGTTATCAGCCAACTCCACAACACTTGAAAAACCATTTGCAGAATAACTCAACTCCTTCATGTATGCTTTCTGCAGGACAAATCACACAGCACCACCCATTCGTACCATACTAGTGCCATATTTACAAGGCACAGGGCCAAGACCCACAGCGGCCATTTAGCTATGCGTAGACAACACAGCTATATCAACACAACACATCCACCTCATACAGTAGCTCTATCAACACAACATAGCTACCTCATACAGCAGCTAAATATTTATATATACCAACACAAGTACACAACACATCTACCTTATACAGCAGCTCACCAACACAACACATCTACCTTATACAGCAGCTCACCAACACAACACATCTACCTTATACAGCAGCTCACCAACACAACACATCTACCTTATACAGCAGCTCACCAACACAACACATCTACCTTATACAGCAGCTCACCAACACAACACATCTACCTTATAGTTAAGTTCTACAGCACATCCACCTCATGCACACACCTACAAGTTAGTTCTAACCTTGTACTCATGTGGAAGTCTCGCTGAGAACACACCTTGTGGACGACGACTTAATACCTATAGCATACACACAGGTACACACCATTTGATGCTACAACAGAAGCCATAGCAGCTTGTGCTGGGATTGCACCATTCAACAGCTTGCAAGGCTGAAGAATTGACCGCCACTATTCAGCCTGGTCTACACTGCTATGAAGTGGCTTTTTCTGGCCAGCGAATCCCTACTTTTGGTCTTTTTCATTTTCATTTTATTTATTTTTCCCGCACACACATCACATCACATACTCCGGCATGCACTGGCTGTTGGTAACCACCCAAGAGAATGAAAGAAAAGTCAGGAGGAGTCTGAGAAAGAGAAGAAAGACGTGTGTGACCATAATCGTCGGGAATCGAACCCGCAACCTAACGATTGGAAATCGCTGCACATACCACTGCACCATATGGGACACACACACACACACACACAGAAAGACAACCAAACACGTTGATCATCTGCTCCATGCAGAACAACGTGTGACAGTAATGAAGTACTACATGTATAGCGCAATACTAAAGCAAAGACAAATCTACAAACTGGTCAGGTGGTCACAAACTCCTGCTCTCCTTATCTACGTGCACTGTCAGTGTACACGCTAGACATGTACACACACACACACGCGTGTGTGCACACGCACACACCACACACACACACGCCGCGCACACACACACATGCCGCGCACACACACACACACACACACACACACACACACACACTACACACACACACACACACGCGTGCACGCACACACACACATGCCGCGCGCACACACACATGCATGCACACACACGAAAGGCCACAAAACCATGAATACATACGTCATGTACAAACAACGCAGGGAGATTTCCACTAATCTAAATAATTCTACTGCATGAGATCGACTAGAATGTGTTTCTTTGGGTTGCTCTACCCAGTTGCAATAGAGACGGCTGGCTGGGCTGCTTTTTTTCAAGTGTGGCCAGATATCCAGAAATCCATGCCAAGCTTTGCATGGCACAGTACTACACACATGTTTAGCAGACTACGTAGCACAAACAGGGTCCCGCCAGGGCTCGACATCAGCTTTGCAGAGGAGTATGAGGAGCTGGTTCGGCAATGCATCTGCCATCGAGCAGCAAGGCGACAGAGTAGTAGTAGGGTAGTAAGAAGTAACAGATTTTGGTCCAACTGTGAACTGATGGTTAAACCAGTGCACAACCCAATATTCTACCTTGGACTTGAAAGAATCTTCAAACTGCCAACCACTGCTAGTTTAACCCAAACAACACTCACTTGGGCTGGAGTTGGCTACTCGTGTTTTCCAGGGTAATGAATGGGAATTCAAAAAAAGTTTGCCCCCCCCCCCCACACACCAGTTATCCAATGGTAAGCAAAGCCTGTACATACCTGATAGATTTCCTTGCGCAGCTCCAGAGGTACAGCAGATGGCACGGCAGCTGGCGGAGATTTGTTGCCAGGACCACCAAGAGAGCCAGATGAAGGTGAAGTCACCGAAGATGACAACGTCACTGAAGATGTGACCATCTTGACCGAAGCTGTTGTCGTCGTTGACACTTGACTTGTTGTTAGAGCAATGGTTGCAATAGGAGATCGATTCGGATAGCTAAACAACAACAACAGGTACACAACATGTATTAGTTTGAGGGAGCTGCAAACGGAAAAGTCGGAAGAAAAATTGACTGTCACCACCAGGACTCGAACCAGGGACCCTCTCTTATGGCCAGCAATGCTCTACCACAAAGCTATGGCGATCGCTCAACGTTGTCTTCAGACTTCAAAACTCACGCTTCACAAACACAAACCACATCATGCTGAACACAAGAACAGCCACACATTGCTAGGCCCTATACATTGCTATAGGCAATATCTTTCTATAATACGAACAGCATCATCAACAGCAATACATCATTATCGGAATCACAACAGTTTTCTTTTTATAGTTTTATGTTCAGGGGCCGTCGCAAAAGGTTTTCGTCTTCCCTGAAACAAACATCCTTCATTTTGGTGTGTGAGCAGTGTTTGTATAAAAGTACATGCATGTGATTTTCGTCGTGCAGCATTGCAAACTATGTTTATTTCGGAGGATGGGGAGGGGCTCCGAGTACGAAATGGACGATGATCGCTCCAGGGTCGACTAAAAACTTTTGCGATGACCCCTTAAAATGCTCTTGACACAATGGCGATAATCTCAAATTAATCGCCATGTGAACCTGCACTACAGCAAGCTACAGACGGTTGTTACAGCACTGTACACTCGAATTACAATTACAAAACACAGAACAGCCACAGAAGTACAAAGGAACCCATGTAATGCGACATCATGCACACATGCACGCACACCCCACGGCCACGGCCACCACACATGTCAAAAGATAACAGCAGCAGCAGCGACGACACGGCGGTGGTCATACATATGTGAACCCACAGTATTATTTACCGAGTAGTTTGGCTGGTAGTTTGGGAAGCAGCCATTGAGTTACTGGAGTCAGTCTTGTCATTGTTGTTGGTGGAGAGCTCATCACCATAGAGAGCAGCTTCAAGGTCATCCCAAGTCTCAAAACTGCCTTCTCCACCACCTTGGGCTTCACCTCCTGCTGCTGCCAGGTGATCATTGCCACTATCGTCAGAAGGCGTTGCTGCACGAACGCGACCCTTGTGCTCAACCCTCAGCCAGGTGGACCCTGGTGATGAAGGATTAGGACGATTCTCAACAGGTCGGTGAAAAGAGGTACTTGAAAAGCTGCTCAGGCTAGAAGCTGGAGCTGTTGAAGGGCCCGGCACTCTTCTTGTTACTATCAATCCGCCAAATAGCATACACACACACACACGGGGCACACGCACATACGCATACACAAAACGCATAATGCAGATAAACAAGAGAGCGTGCACTCAGAGCTCACTATTATGCTGGCACATGACCTACACTTTTTGGCTACTCCTATATGATCGCTTGGTACCATGGTACTTGTGAATACGGCTACCCCCCCCCCCCCCCCCCCCCCGACACACACACAACAAATGCCACTTGTTTTTGTGACATCACACGCCTTTGGCATAGCTTCAGACTGATTTTTCCACATAATTATAAGCATGCATGCGAATGCACGCACGCAAGCATACACACAGACACACGCAGGCAAGCATGCACATATACAAATACACAGCCACACAAAACTCAACCCCACCAATGCATCCACACACGCAAGACAATCTCACCTTTGGCATAGGCAACCTGACCACGTGACCTTTGCTGCAGTACCACAATATCGGGCATGGCGGTAAGAAACTCTTCGGTTGACTGAAATCCCATACGGGCTGGTACCAGTGGTCCATTCTTGCTCACCTTACTTGTGAACTCACTCACCACTTTCTCAACTGGAAGGCCATTTGGATACATCTCCAACAATTTCCGCATTGCCTCTCGTATACCATATGGTACACGAGGAGCACTTAAGCCACAACTTGCAGAAGACTGTGTACTGGCTGCACTTGGTGGACGGTTCGATGAAGAAAACTGCAATCTATCTCTGAATGTGGCTGAGCCAGCAGGTTGACGGCGAACTGTAGCACTTGGCTGACGACGAGTTGGTGCTGAAAACACTCTAGGAGCACGAGCCGCTGCTTGCCTGCCTCGTGTACGGCTGTTTTTACCTTTCTTTTGCTTATCAACAAGCTCCTTGATATGAGCTGTTGCTTTATTTGCTACAGCCGTATAAATGCCACTATAGTTACGCTCGGCAACGTCCGGCATAGCTTCAAGCATCTGCTCAACGGAGGAAAAGCCCAGCTCTCGGAATGGGCATGCTTTGTACAGTATCACCTGCCAATCTCCAGCAATTTGCGCAGCAGACAAACCTCGCGGTGCAGACAACAACAGTGAACGAAGTGCCAATTTGGCTGGCTCCATTTCGGACGCCATCGTGCACAAAGCACGTAGAAATAAAAAATGAAGGGATAAAGACCAGAGGTTTCCACCAAACTTCCAAGACCAGACTAAAAAGATAGTTACAGAGTTAGAGGAAAGAAAGCATACTTATAGCAAGAATAAGGTGCGCCCTCGACCTCCCTCACCGCATGGAACAAAACGTGTAGGAGGAATTGGAAATGGTAAAAATGCAATGAACAAACCATTTTTTTAAATTTTTAGTTTTCACAATATACTGGGTTTTTTTAGTACTCCGCGCGAGGGCGCCGCCGGGCTGGTGGTCCGTGGTGGACCACGTGGGCGCATGGCTAGAAGCGCGGGAAAATCCCCACACATGCACTGACAGTCTGTACGACTATACGTATACGCCTCTCTAGTCTACGGTACCGTGGTCGTAGTACGACTACGGTACCGTAGTCGTATATCTACGACTCCTGCTTCGAAGCAGGGAGTACTAGTACAAGTCAATAGTCAATACCATAATCAACATGTTTTTCGATTTTGACAGCATGTTTATAATACAAAATAATAATTTAAAAAAATAATAATAATATTGTTACAAGGCGATACGAGTCGTACCAAGAGTACTTTATGTACTCTTGGTCGTACCAGTAGATTCTACGAGATCAGTGGTAGATCTACGTCGTAGATTCGTAGATCTGCTCCCTGCTTCGAAGCAGCTGGCCCTGACTGCCTGAGCTGGGCGCCGACGCCTGACGTCACCCTGCACCCTGCACTACCGTATATACTATACTATTACTTACAGTGCATTTCAAAACTATAGTAGTATAGACGCGTAGGGTTTTTGAAATATTTCAAATTTGGCTGGAACTTTTTGAAAATAGTTTTCGGAATATATTGCTCAGGATCGCTCCACAATTACTCTATTATAGATTCTAAAGGATTGGATAACAGACGCCCAATTTGGAAAATTTTTTGCACAAAGTGATCACAGATTTTATGTGGTATACATGTAGATGCTGGCATAACGGTTTTTGCCTAGGTAGATCTACGCGTCTAGTTTTGAAATGGACTGTAGCTGCACTCTGCAGTACAAAAAAACTTTCTTTTTTATCTCTCGTGCACCGGTGCACCGTGCATTGTGTACACCGCGTAGATCTACAGTGTGCATGCATGAGCGTCATGATTATCAGGACTCATATCCGGGGTTTCTTCAAGAAGAAGAAAATACTACCGGGTAGTATGTTGTGAAAGCGCGGGTAGAACTATCATTCTATGTCAGTATGTTGTTGCAGTCGACAACTTTTTCTTTCAGCAACAGCTACTAGAATGCTGGCCATAGTCCTAGATCTCGCCCGCATTACTAGTAGTGCTTAGTAGCGCGGCGCTATGGAGGGAATGTTCTGGTAGTAATGCCGACTAGGCTGATTGTCGACAGTTCGTTCACAGGTTTTGAAGGGAAGCAACCATTGATCGTCAAACCTTGTGAAAGTCTTGTTGATTTGAGTCCACAGTCTTCATCATCTCGCAGCGATCTGCACACAGCTCGTGCTACAACTGCTACGGGGACTGGTGGTGGCATCCGACGGAAACTCTCACTACGAAGATCAAGCAGCTTTCGAGGATTCCGTCGAGCAGGAAGACCTGAAAGGACGGCACCACTCCTGCCCGCAGTAGAAGAAACTAAAAGAAGTCCAGCAGCCGCTCATCATCCTGCTCGGTTGTCATCTGGCCTTCCTGCAAGTCGCGTGAGTGGACTGGGCGCGCGTGTTTCTGAATCCATCTGCCCTACAAGTACAAGTAGTAGTAGTGCTAGTAGTAGCCGCAACAGCACTGACGGCATTCTCACAGGCGGGTACCCTGGGTGCAGGCAAACAGGTAGTGACAGCAAAGACACGAGCAACGACTATGCAATCAAGCGTGACGACGATTTAGAAATTGGATATTCCAGAAGTCGTTCAGTCAGTAGCTTCGGCTCCGTGGGAGAAACGAAGCCAGGCGTGTTCGTAAGGTCAGTGGCTGGACGTTGTAGCGAGCGAGTTCGATCTGGAAGCGCTGGCTATCGTGGGCAAATCAACAAACAGTTACGAAGGATCCCTTCGCACTTGCTGAAGAATATCTTCACATCTGCCACAGCAGCTAGTCGAGTGAGATCGACCTGTGCTGGGAGTGCTGACACGGATCAGGCGACAATTGTAAGATCTCTTCTCACCAACTGGCTATGAAAGCCACGATTCTTGTTGCAGCTGATAGAATTTAGAAATGAAGAAAGCACAAGTAGATCTATGGTTGTCAGCATTGTAATACTTATTAATATTGTATCCTATTGTGTTGCGGGCTAACTACCACACCTCAAATTGCACTGCTTTCTGCGTCCAAAGCGTCCAAACACATCTTGGATAATATAATTTAGACTCGGGTGGAGAGCCAAGGATTGATTTAATTTATAAGAAGAAAAAGGACCAAAGAGCTACAAGTTACGCTATAATAATTATCCAATATTATAATAAGACCACCAGTTTACAATCAGCCCATGGGATAGCATTGCACGACACCTGACGAACAGTACTGGCGCTCTACACATTAGGTGTTAGGGCCCGGTCACACATGCACTCGAAAGTAGCGGATCCGCTGAAGCGACGTGGCAGGAGCGAAAAATACCATGGCAACGGCGAAAAGCGTAACTCCAATCCGTTTCCTCCAAAATTTTCGAAGCGAGACTGTCGCTTCTGCGGATTGGCTTCAGCGGAAAACACCACGGTCTGCTGTATATGGACTTGCTACGAGAAATGTGTATGCGTATGATGTCCATGCAACAAAAATACGTGCAAGATAGTCATTAGACACCCTTAGCAAAATACGTTATGTTGTAACGGTATTATCGTAAGGGGGAAAATACCGTGATTTGGGTTCGACCTTGAGCAAGATGCACGCTATTTTTAGTACGCTGTTGCCACGAGATTAGCTTTGATTTCGCGCGGTACAACCATTTTTCTCACCATATACGCGATACAAGGTGAAATGCGTACGGACTATGCAATATTTGGCCAAAACTCGTACCGTTGGTCACAACGATAAATCAGCCCCCATAACGTTTATACGTTGCAGCTTCAACGCTATTTGGGTGATCAAGGTACGAGTACCGTAAAAAATAGCGTTACCGTTGTTTGCTAAGGGTGTCTAGTGAGCTCGTCTATTCTCCGTACCGTATGCACCACACTCCACTTTACTCTCATTTTCCGCCAAAGTAGGAGTTTGCCCTGTTTGTATGTGTGACCATACACACGTGGTTTCCTGGAGCGACACCAGGCTCGCTGCCGCCGAACCTCGACGCCAAAGCGAACCCCAGTGCATGTGTGACCGGGCCCTTAGTGGATAATTATAGCGTAACTTGTAGCTCTTTGGTCCTTTTCTTATAAATTAAATTGAGAACATGGTGATGAATAATATCAAGTGCGTACTCATATCACAAACGTTGCAACCAAAGTAGTTTCATGTCCAGAACGTTTTCTTGTCACATCCATCTGTGGAGTGTCGTGACTAAAGGGAAATGGGAAACAACCTAAGGATTTATACATTTCAGAAAAGAGAAAATGAACGTGTCAAAAACAACAACATAAAATTATTGGATTAGAACGATAGCGCTAGCGATGTGTGAGATAGATACATGGTGAGTATTGTGCAAAGTCAGGAAGGCGGGTGTATGTGAGCAAATGTGTTCATGAAATGAAACGTGCGTGTGATTTACAGAAAACATGTGAGTGCAGTGACATTTTTTTTGTTTACATGCACGTTTCACTGTTAGTGTTATCAACACATTTTCTAACATACAACCACCATGTGTGCATGTGTGTGTGTGTGTGTGTGTGTGTGTGTGTGTGTGTGTGTGTGTGTGTGTGTGTGTGTGTGTGTGTGTGTGTGTGCCTATGTGTGGGTTTGGGTGTTGCACACATATGTAGTGCCGTTTGGTCAACATCAAGCCTGTGATTAGAAGAGTGGACATTCCCCGAGGTGCTGTGAGTAGTGCAGCTGGTGCCGAAACAATGTCGGTAAGTGGTCCAGCTGCATGAATTAGGCGATGCAACATGTAAGTTTGAAAAATTGTCAGGCGGACAACCTATTCCAAAGGATCAAGCTAGTATTTATTTCGCTCTTTTCTCTCTCCCTCTCTCTCTCTCTCACTCTTTCTCTCTCTCTCTCTCTCTCTCTCTCTCTCTCTCTCTCTCTCTCTCTCTCTCTCTCTCTCTCTCTCTCTCTCTCTCTCTCTCTCTCTCTCTCTCTCTCTCTCTCTCACACACACACACACACACACACACACACACACACACACACACACACACACACACACACACACACACACACACACACACACACACACACACACACACACATACCCACTCTCTCTCTCTCTCACACGCATACCCACTCTCTCTCTCTCTCTCTCTCTCTCTCTCTCTCTCTCTCTCTCTCTCTCTCTCTCTCTCTCTCTCTCTCTCTCTCTCTCTCTCTCTCTCTCACACACACACACACACACACACACACACACACACACACACCTTTGACCTTTGACGCCCATCGCCGGAGGCGATGATAGCAATGCTATGGCAGAAGCCACAGCAACTTGTGCTGGGATTGCACCATTCAACAGCTTGCAAGGCTGAAGAATTGACCGTCACTAATCAGCCTGGTCTACACCATACAGCTATCTGAAGTGACTTTTTCTGGCCAGTGAATCCCTATTTTTGGTCTTTTCATTTTTTTCCCGCACACACATAGAGCCACAGGAGTATACAAATTTAGCGCTAAGTCTGGTGGTGTAAGGTATTGGGGAAAAGCTATCGCGGGCAAAGGCGCTAGGAGAGGCAAAAGGCGGGTGGAAGTGTCAGGAGGGCGGCGGGCAACAGGCAGGTGCGAGTATTAAAGCGCGGACAGAGGCGTTGGGGAGGCAATGTACAGCAGATGGGTGGAGATGTGGGGAGGCAATGTACAGCAGATGGGTGGAGATGCCAGGAGGATGGTGGGCAATAGGCATGTGAGATCACTAGGGGGTCTTTGGGTGACGGGCGGGCGTGCGCAGAGTGGTATAGTCAACAACAAGGGGTCGCAGTATTACTATTGGGATGCTTGGGCAAAGTGTAGTACAGTACTTGATCAGTTCATTTGATAGGTTTGAAATTTGCGAGGCGGAGCATATTCTCATGCCTGCATTTCGTGATCATCTCAGATCGCTTGTTGAGCAGGAGCTCCTTCGGTGTCGTCAGGATGTGGAATTCTCTGTAATACACAACGTAGAATCCCGCGTATAAGCCCACCCGCTTATATGCTCGCGTATAAGCCCAGGCCAAGTATAAGCCCATGCTCGCGCATAAACCCAGGCCAAGTTTGAACATCGCGAAGCTTCGTTGTACAAGCCCATGGGCCTAGGTCGTACCATGTACGTAGTACATGTAGTGATGTAGGGTTTTTTGTGCTTCTTTGTGCTTTTTTGTACATTTCAACACAATCATCGGTTGTTTTTTGTTTGCACGCTGATTTTCAGCAATGTACTTCTCACTTCCTTGGTACATTTCAATAGCACAATTTTGTTGCCGGCGTATATTAAAGCCCGTATCCGCGTATAAGCCCATGTTCTTGTATAAAAAAAATTAAAAAAAATATCGTATCCGTTCCCAAAGGGAACTCACGACGGCCGCTAGCACCCGATAAACCCTAGCGGCAGATGCAGCGCCTAACAGTGGGGGTGAGTGGGTAAGTCTCACAACCACTGGCACAAGTGCCGAAAACGACCCCATTAGCTGCATCCATGTACCCCTTGTGCCTGGCCACAAGTTCCCAGTTGACTGTGGGTAGCAGCACGGCTGGAAAAACCGCTCCCAGGCAGGACTTGAACCAGGTACCTCTCGTATCTCAATCATGGTCTTTGACCAACCCACTGTGCCTGCCTGGTATATGTTCTTGTATAAGCCAACCGAAATGTCCTTGTGAACAGATTAACCCGGGGGCGTATCCGCGGGATTCTCTGGTAGGTTGATTTGTTTACATACACACATACATACTCGGAGGGAGTTGTGGTTGCTCGTGAGAGTGCTCAATACACCAAGGTGCAGAGCCTAGTACACACACTTGAGAGGGACGAAAAGCGTTTCTTCTGTAACTCTGAGTTTCACGGTTAAAACCGTGAAACTCAGAGTTACAGAAGAAACGCTTTTCGTCCCTCTCAAGTGTGTGTACATACATACATACATGCTGTTTTGGACATTGAAATCCGTTGAGAAGTCAAGAAGCCATGGGGTACTGGCCTTGCAGCCGCGAGCACTGCTGGTCCATTTTACAGTGTGTACTGAACTACAGTGCATGCACGCGCTAGAAGCAGTAAAGGCACCGGCCACGGTCATCCCATCGGATTTCAACGTCCGCAACAGTACATACTTGTACACACATACACGTTTACTTGTTCATTCCCGTAAACTGACCACGTGGGTCTCTCCGAAGAAGGGAAAGAGATTCAGAAGAAATCTTGGAACCATGTCAATTAGGGTGATGAACTGTCCAACGGCTGACAGCCCCCGAATCCCCAACCTAACCCTTGGCGGATTATGCTGGCGTAATCTTAGGATTTTGTCTAAAAAATTATGCCCTGGCATAAAAGGACTTCTGAGACCAGACGGTCGGCATAACCTTACGATGCTGGCTGAAGATTAATGCTCCAGGCATATTCAGACATGTTACACAGGAAGCAACCTGGTGAATGTTGCCCCTTATAAGCCATGCTGTCATGGTGCCAGAGTCGTTGTAACATTGCAAAGTCAGTGCAACAAGAGTGCAAGGGTACAGTATACTATAAATACCTCTTGGTCTGGCATTATAATGCTTTGGAGCTGATGCGCGCAGTTTGCCTGTTCACTGTTACCACGGAAACAACTGCACATGACCAAAATGGCGTCCAAGCAATCCGGCCCAGGCGATGTCAGGCTGTTGGCCAAAAAAATTGAAGAAGGAAGTTGTAGTTTTGCACTGTCAGGTTGAGGTTCTCAGTTCAAAGGGCAGATACCGGTACTAAGGACGTTTAGCAATACGAAAATTCGAACTTTTGGTGGTGGTGATATTTCGCGAAAATCTTTTTCGAAAAAGAAAACTTGTGAGGTTTAGCAATGCGAAAAGACTTTTTCTCGAAGTTATTTGAATGTTATAGTACCGTACCGTATATGCAGCTCAGTCTCAAGCAGGGGGCTGTAAAATTACTACTCCCTGTAGTCAAATGCGTACCGAGAAAAGAGAAAGTTACTTTCGCAATCACTGCAACTTCGCGTTCAAGTTTTCGAAGTTTCGAGCTTTTTTCTGGACTCATTCCCAGACTTTCGAACTTTCGCGTTGCAAAACGTCCTTACTGTCTAAATTGTTCGAGCCTATTCATAGGCTTTGGTTTGAGGAAGGAGGTTGGGGCTGCTGGGAGCAGTAGTGATGACGTAGAGTTTGTACCTGACCCGGGTTGAAGCGAAGAGCAATGATGAACTGCTGGCGAGTCACACGAATCTGTTCCCCCTGCTGCAGCAACTAACACTGACTTGAGTGCCATGAGCCTCACGCACCGATTATGAGCGTGGCACGTGTAATGTCGGCCTTCACTCTGATTGCTTTGAGGAGTTGCACATGTGATGAAGTTTGCTACTGAGCTATCAAGCAGTGAAGCAAGTGTACATATACCTGTAAATATCATCTGCACATAACATTTTTTATCATAAAAAACTCATAAATTACAATTTCTAATTTGGACTTCCGGAGTATTTCAAAGTATTAGGAAATTAGAGGCCACATGCCACGTACTGCTCTTTTCTCTCCGAAACTCAATACTTGCAAGCCAGATATGAAAGAAAGAAAAATCATCAGTCACACCACCGGGACTCGAACCAGGGACCTTGCTATTCGCGAGCAATGCTCTACCCAACTGAGCTACAGACTACACAGTATGACTGTTATCTACAGTATGACTCTTATCCACCTGAGCTACAGACTACAGTATGACTCTTATCCACCTGAGCTACAGACTACAGTGTATGACTCTTATCTACACTGTATGACTCTTATTCACCTGAGTGATGGTAATACTCCGTGAAGTCCAAATTTGAAATTGTAATTTGTATTTGCTCGCAGTGGACATAGTTAGATGCGCTCCCCATGATATCAAGCGAATGGCCGAGGGCCCTCTTGATTGGTGTGAGTTGCCAGTATGATGCAAGCCAGATATGGATTGATCGAGGAAGGATAGATTTACGATCACTGTGGATAAGAGTCATACTGTAGCTCAGTTGGTTAGAGCATTGCTCGCGAATAGCAAGGTCCCTGGTTCGAGTCCCGGTGGTGTGACTGATGATTTTTTTCTTTCTTTCATATCTGGCTTGCAAGTATTGAGTTTCGGAGAGAAAAGAGTAGTACGTGGCATGTGGCCTCTAATTCAAGTTCCTAATAAAAAACTCATAAAATACCAACAAAAAACCGAAGCCTATATAATAGGCTTTGAGCTGCCACCCCAAGATAGCACCGTCATTGGCACAATTCCAGCATAATGTAGCATAATCACTGGCATAATTCGGGCCTAATGGAAAACATAATTCAGTAATTTACCGAGCATAATCCGCCAAGGGCTACCCCAACCTACAGGTAGACTTGAAAATATGACCCCACTTTTGGGCTCACCACACCGCAGTAAGTGGGTGAGGACAAGGTGCAGAAAAAGGATTGACTTCATCAGTGCATCTGTCCTGGCACACACACACATGCACACACGGACACGCACATGCACGTGCGTACGCACACACACACACACACACACACACACACACACACACACACACACACACACACACACACACACACACACACACACACACACACGTCCACACGCACGCACACACACTGTGAGCATTGAATTTATTGATTTGTATTTGACTTGTCTTACCTGTGTCTACGTAACTCGCTCTGCAGTATCCTTGGTCGTTTTGTTAGGCCATTGCCCAAATTTCGTAACATCCATGCTGGATTATTCAGTAGACTGCTCTGCTGCATTATTTGACGACGTACAGTCCATTTCAAAACTATAGACGCGTACCTAGGCAAAAACCGTTATGCCAGCATCTATACCACATAAAATCTGTGATCACTTCGTGCATAAATTTTTCCAAATTGGGCGTCTGTTATCCAATCGTTTAGAAACTATATGAGAGTAATTGTGGAGCGGTCCTGAGCAATATTCCGAAAACTATTCTCAAAAAGTTCCAGCCAAATTTGAAATATTTCAAAAACCCTACGCGTCTAGAGTTTTGAAATGGACTGTAGTTACGTTCCTTTATTTCGCTTCGCACTCGTAGTTTGAATTTCTTGAGTGCACGCACGGTGTATTTTTTGTGTTTAGTTTTAGTTGACGTCGTGAGGTACTATTTTAGCTACCCAGAGTGTACGAACTGTAGTCAGTCGCGATTGAGTATCGATCTGGCTACATTTTCGGTGCATGTGTTTTCTGTATTTGATGCATGTGCACGCTGGTATCGTTTGCGCTGGTTGTAGGTGCACTTGTACGTGCACGTTCTGATGAGGACAGGGTTTTCGCATCTGCTTGTGCTTTTGATAGTCTGTTTACCTGTGTTTCTAGCTAGTTCTTCTTCTCTCTTGGTTCAATACAATCGTGTAATTTCTTTCGTCTCCTTTTCTATCTTGCATATCCTCTGTATCGTTCGTGCCATGTAAATAAATACTGGTCGGTCTCAGTTCCTGGATCTTTTGAGTGTAAGATACACAACAACTAGCATGAAGAAAATCGGGTAGGATAAGGGAGTTGATACTTAGCAGATGCAACTTGCTCAAGTTGAACGCCACTCTCTTGGCTTGAAAGCATCTCCTTAAAAGCTTGATACAAAATTGAGCATGATGACTGTGATGTATCCGTTCTTGCTGTGCAGGATAAACCAGCTGACCCGGCTTTGCCTTCGCCAAATGAAACAGACGGCGGAGCTCTGTCATTCATGTCCAAAGTCACTGATGATGATGTGTCTTCTATTGGATCGGGGGAGAGACGTGAAAAATGGCAGATGGTCATCAATGAAGTAATCTCAACTGAACAGGCGTACGTAGAAGCTTTGGATGGCGTAATCACAGTAAGTGGTAGAATCAGCCGGCACCCTTCAGTGTGCAAAGTGGAGTTCTTGCTTGGAGCTTGCTTACCGCCAGCTATTTCGGTTACATTTCAAACAAGTTCACACTCCTATCGTTAGTATGTTCATGGTTTTGCATGTTGAACTTGACAAGTATCAAGCGCACATAGCAATACCAGTTCCTGTTTACGTGTGTCTAATGAACAGCTTATCCTAGTCACCGGGCAGAGTGCAGATGCCCATGTGCTAGTCACTGGCAGAGTGCAGATGCCCATGTGCTAGTCACTGGCAGAGTGCAGATGCCCATGTGCTACATGTGCTACATGTGCTACAGCTTTTCAAGCATGCATACTAGATACCACTGTGAAGTCTGCTTTGATGCTTGAAAATTCAGGACTGGTTTCACGTACACGTGAACATACATGTAGCTTAGCGCTGCACATCTCAGTTAATGACACCTGACATTCAGTCCGATCTGTTCTAACTCAAACATCATGTATGTTTGTTTGTCTCTCTGCTTTTCTCTGTGTGTGTGTATATTGATCTCTCTCCCTATATGTTGGTGTCTGTCTCTGTATGTCTCTGTATCTGTCTGTCTGTATGTATGTATGTATGTCTGTCTGTCTGTCTCACTGTCTGTCTCTCTGCCTCTGGCTCTCTGTCTGTCTGTCTCTGTCTGTCTGTCTGTCTGTCTGTCTGTCTGTCTGTCTGTCTGTCTGTCTGTCTGTCTGTCTGTCTGTCTGTCTGTCTGTCTCTGTCTGTCTGTCTCTCTGTCTGTCCCTCTGTTTGTATCTCTGTCTCTGTCTCTGTCTCTCTCTCTCTCTCTCTCTGTCTCTCTCATATCCTGTTTAGGGATATATCAAGGCAGTCGGACCATATGCTACAGCCCTGCAAATCACTCCTAGCGATTTGGAAGTTCTCTTCTGCAACATCACAAAGTTGTATGAGCTGAATAGGTGAGCTGAGTGGGTAGAATGCACTGGAACACACGGTTGTTAGGTGAGCTGAGTGGGTAGAATGCACTGGAACACACGGTTGTTAGGTGAGCTGAGTGGGTAGAATGCACTGGAACACACGGTTGTTGCTGAGTGGGTAGAATGCACTGGAACACACGGTTGTTGCTGAGTGGGTAGAATGCACTGGAACACACGGTTGTTGCTGAGTGGGTAGAATGCACTGGAACACTGGAACACACGGTTGTTGCTGAGTGGGTAGAATGCACTGGAACACACGGTTGTTGCTGAGTGGGTAGAATGCACTGGAACACACGGTTGTTGCTGAGTGGGTAGAATGCACTGGAACACTGGAACACACGGTTGTTGCTGAGTGGGTAGAATGCACTGGAACACACGGTTGTTGCTGAGTGGGTAGAATGCACTGGAACACTGGAACACACGGTTGTTAGGTGAGCTGAGTGGGTAGAATGCACTGGAACACACGGTTGTTGCTGAGTGGGTAGAATGCACTGGAACACACGGTTGTTGCTGAGTGGGTAGAATGCACTGGAACACACGGTTGTTTACTGACTGTTTAGAGTTTGAATGAAGTTCTTCTTGCTGGCAGGAGCAGCCGCCGATCAGCTATGTTGTGCTGTATGTGTCACGGCTGTATGTGTCACGGCTGTATGTGTCACGGCTGTAGGCATGTGTCACATGTTTGTATTTATTTATTTATTTTTCACTGAAGTGCACAGTCCGGCAGAGAACAGAATGGGAAGATAGAACCAAGGGGAAGACATGACAATGCAGCGGGAAGCCGGAGCAGCTTGCTGATGAATTGGGTCTACCTCCCCTGACCATGAGTTTCGGGTTCAGCGGCAGGACCATGCACCAAATACCAAAAAAATAGGTAGAGCAGAAAAAAGCAAGATTCACAGTGTGATGTAAGGAAACAAAATGAAATGGCAAATTGCCTGGTGTTGCAGATGAGGTACAGAGACTCGGGGGGAGAGAGGGGGAGAGACAGACACAGAGAGAGGGAGACAGAGACAGACAGAGACAGACAGAGTGTGTATGTGTGTGTGTGAGAGAGAGAAAACGAGAGAGAGAGAGAGAGAGAGAGAGAGAGAGAGAGAGAGAGAGAGAAAGAGAGAGAGAGTTGATGGTGGCACAGTGTTGTGGTCTAGCGCATGATCGTTTATGTTTGTTTGTGTGTGTGTGTGTGTGTGTGTGTGTGTGTTCATGTGTGTGTGTGTGTGTGTGTGTGTGTGTGTGTGTGTTCATGTGTGTGTGTGTGTGTGAAAGGGGATTCATCTCGCTGTGATAATTGGCGGGGTATCTCACTGCTGGAAGTTGTGGGCAAGGTTCTGGCGAGCGTCATCCAGACTCGTCTCCAGTCCGTGGCTGCGGATTTTCTCCCAGAATCTCAGTGTGGCTTCAGACGTGGCCGATCTTGCACAGATATGGTTTTCAGTGTTCGGCAGTTCCTCGAGAAGACCATAGAGCACGACTGCAAAGGCTTCTTTGTATATATAGACCTCAAGAAAGCCTATGATTCCGTGCCTCGGGATTGCCTGTGGCAAGTCTTGTCCAGAGCGGGTATCCCTGCTCCCATGCTTGCCGTGATCCGTTCCTTTCACACTGACATGTCGGCGGTGGTTCGGGTAGAGAACACGACAACTGACCCTATCCGCGTCACGAATGGTCTCCGCCAAGGGTGCACCATGGCACCTGTGCTGTTTAACATCTTCATGTGGGCGGTGGTGACTGTGTGGCAGCGACGAGTCCGAGATGTACCCGGTGTTGGTTTTGAGTTCCGGCATTGTGATGGTGACAGTAACCTTTACCGCAAGCCTACCAGGACAGATCCGATTGCCATTGCCACTGAGTCACAGTTTGCAGACGACTCAGCACTTTTCGCGACGACTCGTGCAGGGGCGGAGACGGCACTTGCAGTGTTTGACACGACCGCAGCTGAGTTTGGGCTTAAAGTTAGCGCTACCAAGACACAGTTCTTGGTTGCAGGCAGGGATGTTTCGCCTGGGGACTGCGCTCCAATCGAGCTAGCTGGCACGGTTATCGAGTGTGTTTCGGAGTTCCGGTATCTTGGATCTCTCATTCATCGCGGTGGCCGGTCGACACAGGACATCACTGCTCAGATTGTGCATGCCTCTCGTGCTTGCGGCGCCTTGCAAGGAGCCATCTTCAGCAATTCTGACCTCGATTTGCATATCCAGAGGTGTGTGTTTAATGCATGTGTGCTGTCGCTCCTCCTCTATGGGTCAGAGTGTTGGACACCATTGCAGCACGATCTCCAACGTTTGTCAGTCTTCCATATGCGGTGAATCCGTTCCATCTTGGGTGTGTCCCGCAGAGATTGCTGGCATAATCACACGACCAACGCCCAACTGTTGGAGATGTGGGGTGACACTGATACCATCTGCGTGAAGGTTGCACAGCGTCGCCTAGAGTAGCTGGGCCATGTTGCCCGGATGGACAGTAGCCGGATGCCGAGACAGTTCCTGTTTGGCTCACTTCCCACACGTCGCCCAGCACATGGCCCTCGCAAGCGCTGGAAGGATTGCGTTGTTTCCGACCTAAGAGTTTGTGGCCTCACCAAGGAATGGTACCCTATTGCCTGGTCCTGCGCTGACTGGCGGGCTATGTACGCCAAGCCTGTGGAGAATGTGCCTCAGCCTGGCCCAGTGGTATGTGCGGATTGCAATCGGTCATTCTCGCGCTCTGGAGATCGTGCTCGCCACAAATGTGTGGTTGAGCGGGCCAAGCCGATTACTGAGCAGCGAGGGGCTTGCCACTGTGGAGATTGTGGGCATTGGTTTTGAAAAAAGGGTGGTCTAGCTGTTCACCGCTGTTCCGCACCTCAGCCTCAGCCTCCTGAGCCCCGGCAAGTCTATGTGCAGGATGCCTGCTGTGCTGCGCACTGTGCTGTGTGTTCCCGCTGCTTTCGGACTGCGCAAGGCCGCGGTCGTCACCGGTGCTCGAGGACTGCGCAAGGCCGCGGTCGTTACCGGTGCTCGAGGACTGCGCAAGGCCGCGGTCGTCACCGGTGCTCAAGGACTGGCCCGCGCCCGACTGACCAGCAGCGTAATTCGTTCAGTCATGTGTGCATGTGTTCTCGCCGGTTCCGTTTGCTCCACCATCTTCGGCGCCATCAGACTGCGTGCTCCATCTTCCTCTCCGATGCCCCTCCGGGGCCCACGTGACCCTTGTGGCAGTGGGTCTACAGGACAGGACAGGTGTGTGTGTGTGTGTGTGTGTGTGTGTGCGTGTGCGTGCGTGTGCGTGTGTGTGTGTGTGTGTGTGTGTGCTCATGTGTGTTTGTAAAAAAGTACACATCACTTTACCCTGGCCAGTTGTTCGTTTGATGTCGTGTCCAGTATACTATTATGAAAGAGAGTCCAGTAAACTATTATGAAAGAGAGTCCAGCGGTAGTAAACTATGATGAAAGAGAATCCTGTGGCGGCTGCTTAGTATGGCAACGTGGTGTGGCGACCTTCAACTTTACTGAACAAATAAAACCATCTTTCGTAACATGTTTTGCATCCAATATGGCAATATGGCAATATGGCAATATGGCAATATGGTGCTCAAACCCACAGCACTGGGATTAAGAATATTTTATCTGTCGACTGAGCTAGCCAGCCAGGAGTAGGCTGAGCTAGCCAGCCAGGAGTAGACTGAGCTAGCCAGCCAGCTAGGAGTAGACTGAGCTCGCCAGCCAGGAGTAGACTGAGCTAGCCAGCTAGGAGTAGACTGAGCTAGCCAGCCAGCCAGGAGTAGACTGAGCTAGCCAGCTAGGAGTAGACTGAGCTAGCCAGCCAGGAGTAGACTGAGCTAGCCAGCTAGCTAGGAGTAGACTGAGCTAGCTAGCCAGGAGTAGACTGAGCTAGCCAGCCAGCCAGGAGTAGGTTGGCACACAAACTCCACAAGGTCATGGACAACACACGCACATGCAATGATATTGCCGATGTATATTTTCAATATGTGGTTTGTTCTGGAGTCATCCTAATAAACGAGAGAGCTTGGAAGCTCAGGGCCCTACGCTATACTTTTTTGCCTAGCGAGAATAAACTTTCGAGAATAAACTTTCTCTTTGCATTAGAGGGTAATAGTAATACGGCACCGTCTACCAACTTGATGACCTAGGCAAAAAAAGCATAGGGATGTTATAAATGTTTCATTTCTCCTTTTTTTTTTAAAGAAATAACCTAGGATTCGAACCTGCACTGTCGCCCTGCATTCATCCCCCTGATACACTTCGCATACATACTCATTCTTCACGTTATGAGCATTTGAAAGCCCTATTTGAATATTCCAGGCAGGCACAGTGGGTTGGTCAAAGACCATGATTGAGATACGAGAGGTACCTGGTTCAAGTCCTGCCTGGGAGCGGTTTTTCCAGCGGGAACTTGTGGCCAGGCACAAGGGGTACATGGATGCAGCTAATGAGGTCGTTCTCGGCACTTGTGCCAGTGGTTGTGAGACTTATCCACTCACCCCCACCGTTAGGCGCTGCATCTGCCGCTAGGGTTTACCGGGTGTTAGCGGCCGCCATGAGTTCCCTTCGGGAACGGACACGATAATTTACTTAATTTACTTACTTTGAATATTGGCATGCCGATGCTGTCTTTGATGGTACGGTACGGGACAGGTGCGGGATAGCGATTGGCATGCCGATGCTGTCTTTGATGGTACGGAATGGGACAGGTGCGGGATAGCGATTGGCATGCCAATGCTGTCTTTGATGGTACGGAATGGGACAGGTGCGGGATAGCGATTGGCATGCCGATGCTGTCTTTGATGGTACGGAATGGGACAGGTGCGGGATAGCGATTGGCATGCCGATGCTGTCCTTGATGGTACGGTACGGGACAGGTGCGGGATAGCGATTGGCATGCCGATGCTGTCTTTGATGGTACGGAATGGGACAGGTGCGGGATAGCGATTGGCATGCCGATACTGTCTTTGATGGTACGGTACGGGACAGGTACGGGATAGCGATTGGCATGCCAATGCTGTCTTTGATGGTACGGTACGGGACAGGCGCGGGATAGCGATTGGCATGCCGATGCTGTCCTTGATGGTACGGTACGGGACAGGTGCGGGATAGCGATTGCCATGCCGATGCTGTCTTTGATGGTATGGAATGGGACAGGTGCGGGATAGCGATTGGCATGCCGATGCTGTCTTTGATGGTACGGAATGGGACAGGTACGGGATAGCGATTGGCATGCCGATGCTGTCTTTGATGGTACGGGACAGGTACGGGATAGCGATTGGCACGGGACAGGTGCGGGATAGCGATTGGCATGCCGATGCTGTCTTTGATGGTACGGAATGGGACAGGTGCGGGATAGCGATTGGCATGCCAATGCTGTCTTTGAGTGTACGGAATGGGACAGGTGCGGGATAGCGATTGGCATGCCAATGCTGTCTTTGAGTGTACGGAATGGGACAGGTACGGGATAGCGATTGGCATGCCGATGCTGTCTTTGATGGTACGGTACGGGACAGGTACGGGATAGCGATTGGCATGCCAATGCTGTCTTTGATGGTACGGAATGGGACAGGTGCGTTATAGCGATTGGCATGCCGATGCTGTCTTTGATGGTACGGAATGGCACAGGTGCGGGATAGCGATTGGCATGCCGATGCTGTCCTTGATGGTCCGGTATGGGACAGGTGCGGGATAGCGATTGGCATGCCGATGCTGTCTTTGATGGTACGGAATGGGACAGGTACGGGATAGCGATTGGCGTGCCGATGCTGTCTTTGATGGTGCGGTACGGGACAGGTGCGGGATAGCGATTGGCATGCCGATGCTGTCTTTGATGGTACGGTATGGGACAGGTACGGGATAGCGATTGGCATGCCGATGCTGTCCTTGACGGTACGGTACGGGACAGGTACGGGACAGCGCCAGGCATGCCGATGCTGTCCTTGATGGTACGGTACGGAAAAGGTGCGGGATAGCGCCAGGCATGCCGATGGCACAAACAAACACGAAATTAAAGCTGTGTGGACCCTGGCTAGCACCAGACGTTACTGAAGTAATGTCTTTTGCATAGCTACGGGAATAATAATAATAATAATCCAGTGTTTCTGCTGTTGGATTTTGATAGGGTGCAGCAGCATAGCTCTCATTCTATGGGCATATGTTACACTGGACATGTACTGCATATGTTACACTGGACATGTACTGCATTGCTATTATGTGTTCTGGTCTACACTGCATAATGTATGATCTGATCGGATCAGTGATATTTGTGTCCTGCTGCTGCTTCTGCTGATCCTGCTGCTGATCCACTGCTGCAACCGATGCTGCTGCTTTTGTTGCTGCTGGTGCCAACGCTTCCGCCACTACTGTTGCTGCTGATGCTACTTCTGTTGGTGGTGGTGTTGCTGCTGCTGTTGTGTTTTTAGCTCGTTGTTAGATGACTTAGTCAAATGTGAAAATGAGCCGGTAGCACTTTGTGCTTGCTTTGTCAAAAGAGTAAGTAGTGCCGCTTGGCTCTGTTTGGTCTGGTTGATTCCAATGAATCACTGTTTGGTCTGGTTGCTTCCAATGAATCACTGTTTGGTCTGGTTGCTTCCAATGAATCAGAAGGAAGACGTGGTAATTCCTCCTGTTCATTAAAATTGTCACTCTCGTATAATTGCTCATAGAACTGCGACAATTGTATTGAACTGGAGGAAGTGCTACTGCTGTTGCTGTAAAGTTGTTACATTTTGCAGCGTAATATTTTGCGACCTCAGATGCCAGGCATGTTAACGGCATTCAAGTGTAGCAGCTGACATAATCGTGGTCGGCAATAATTCATGTGGCGTCAACATATTCAGTAAAATTCTTTTTCATGGCTTCCAAATAATGGAGAATCCTCCCTGATCATGAAATGGGAAAAATTTCCACAAGTTTCTCAACATTCTCCCACATTCCAGTATCAATAATCTCCCGCAGGGTTGCTACTGATTATGCTTATGATCTAAGATAGGTCCCCGGAGGTGTATTTTGCGTATGATCTAGGATAGGTCCCCGGAGGTGTATTTTGCTTATGATCTAGGATAGGTCCCCGGAGGTGTATTTTGCTTATGATCTAGGATAGGTCCCCGGAGGTGTATTTTGCGTATGATCTAGGATAGGTCCCCGGAGGTGTATTTTGCGTATGATCTAGGATAGGTCCCCGGAGGTGTATTTTGCTTATGATCTAGGATAGGTCCCCGGAGGTGTATTTTGCTTATGATCTAGGATAGGTCCCCGGAGGTGTATTTTGCGTATGATCTAGGATAGGTCCCCGGAGGTGTATTTTGCTTATGATCTAGGATAGGTCCCCGGAGGTGTAGTATTTTGCAAGAAGGTTTGTTGTGT